GTGAGCGGACAAGCGAACCTCATCCTCTCTTTCTGCCCCTTGACGGCAGCGGTTCTGGCAAGCAGCCACCATCCAACCCCCGCCACACGCACGACCCAACCGCGGCGCGAACCTCTGTGCGGCTCCCGGCTTCTCGCCCACGACCCGACTCACACACGCGCGAATCTTGCCGAAGAGCCGCTAGCTACCGCTCGTCGATTCGCAGTCCGTCACCGTTGCCCGTCCAGTAAGGACGGAGCCGAGTTTCTCCATGTAAAGCAACAGGAAAAACACGAACAGCCAACTCGATAAATACCCTTCGATAAATCAAATCTTTTCGTCGCGAGTTGTTGGCCAATTTCCGAACAGTTAAAAACACGATACGAAGGAAATTGGATCTCTTCGCGGCCAAAAGTAGCGTCGCGAAGAAGCACGGATATCGAGCAACACACGATCGTCGTTCTCTTTTGTAAATTCCAACTGTGGTTTTCCGAAGATCTTCAACATTTTCTCGTGGAAAGTCACGTTGAAATCCGCCGCGACGATGCACATAGATTTCGATCGTACGATCGAAAGTCTGTCGTTGCGAGTGCGTCGTATAAGAAACCACGTGGTGATTCGAAATGTGTTCTCGTCTTCAGTGGAAACTTTGAAACAGTCTAATAAAAGTTCAGTGATCGCGCGCGCGTGTCTCGCTAGACTGCATGAAAAACGCGTGATATCGTCGACGAGGAATTACGGCGAAACTCTCGAAACAGAGTAAGACACGACGTGGGAGTTAGCAGCTGACGACGACGCGTGCATACGTGTTTACGTTGCGACTAATGGAATTGCTTGGGAAAAAAGCTTTCAACGCGATACATCAATAGGAAAGAAAGCGCGGAAGGATGATAATCGAGAGTTACGAATTAGCGCGTCAACAGTGTTGGAACTCAACGAAAAGAGTACATTCGCGTCAGCGTGTTGCCGCAGCGTAACTTGTTAGAACGCGAGATGCTGAGCGTCTCAGCCGCGTCCAGTCGATTACTTTGGACGCTGAAATCCATTTTGTCACCGACACCAATACCGACACCGACACCGACACCGACACCGACACCGGCATCGACACCGACACCGACACCGACTCCGACACCGGCACCGACTCCGACACCGACACCGACACCGACACTGACTTCGACACTGTTACTGTCGCCGTCGTCATCGTCGTCGGTGTCGTCGTCGTCGTCGTCGTCGTCGTCGCTACCGTCGTTGGCCCCGTCGTCGGTGTCGTCGTTGTCGTCAGCTTTGTCGTCGCCGTCGTCGTCGACGTCGGGGCGGCCACCGTCGTTGTCATCTTTGCCACTATCTTTCTGGCCATCATCGACGTCCTCGCGGTCCTTGTTATCGCCATCGTCATTATCATCATTGTTGTTGTTGTTGTTCTCCTCGTTGTTAGTATCGATACCAGTTTTCTCGTTATCACCGTTCCCATTGTTCTCGTCACAGCGGAGGGCCCGCGTGGCCTGCTAAGATGACCGCTCGTCTTCATTCGTTGAGACATCAAGAAAAGAAATCGGCTGGCAACACTCATAGACATTATCATCATCATCATCATCATCAGTCGCAACATCAACAGAGCGTGCATCAAGGACCGAGTCCGGCGGCCAGCCCTAGTCCCAGTCTCAGCCCAAGTCCTAAACTTTCGGACGGTCGTCGAGTAAGCATCAATCCTCATTTCAACGCGATTCTTTCCCTTTCTTTTTCCTCGTTTTTTCGGTACGTTTCGGTACGTTTCAACGAGGATGTTAGTTTCCAACCAGAAGCTAACGTCTACATACACGCGTACTACGACGTCGCTACGTTTTTACTCTTATCGCGAAAATTATAATTACCACGTAATCAGACAGAAATTCCGCGTCCATCGCGACATTATTTTTCCAATTATTTCCACGTCGCGCGACGATCGCAGGTTGGTCGGGTCGTCTCGATCGAATCACATATTTAGACGTTTGAAAAAGCGCGGGTACGTCAACGATCTCGAACGTGCGTTTGCGTTTATCACGGACGCCGCTACGTTCGTAAGTAAAAAGCAAAAGACGAATGTAATAATAATCGTAACGACAATCGTGGCATTACAGCTGGTATCGTTCGATATTAACAACTTATTCGAAGAACGTGCAACGTACACACACACACACACTCTCGCATATAATCGGACAACGTCAGAAATGGAAATTACAACGCGTTCAAAGTCAGAATCTTTCGTTACGGTCGATCTTTAAATTTTCGGAATAATTTTCCAACGATGTCCGTAATTTTCAGCAGCGATATAAAAATCCGCATCGGAACGCGGACACTCGTGGAAAATCACTTTTTCCTTCTTTCGTAAACCGAAGCGAAATTTGCGTCGCCTGTTTCACACACACGCGCGCGCTTTTTCTTCCTCTCCGCGTATTACTCGCGTTTCGTATAGAAACGTAGCAAAGTTTCCCACGATACACCCGAAAGGTACAAATCACACAACGCGTAACGTCTAACGTACCTGATTCTTCGTTACATCGTAGCAAGTAATCTTTACGGTCGAAAAAATACACTCGCAACGAAGCGATTAATTTATTCGATCTCTTCGATCGATCGTCATTTCTCTACTTTCTTCAATTTTAACGAAAGAAAAAGATACTGGTTTTTCTCTCGGTATCGGAACGATCAGACGCTTTTATTTATATCGGGATACAGAGTTTAAGCACACGCACGATACGGAGTAAGAAAGAAGGGTAGACAAAAGAGCGTAGTAGCCAGAGGAAGAAGGGAGAGAGTAGATATCGGTAGGCGAACGTCTTTAGAGACGACGGTCGCACATAGAATTACTCGATGTGGCATCATTCTACGAACAGCACGGTTATCTTGCAGGCTAACAAACCACTGATGGAAAAACGACGGCGAGCCAGAATCAACCAGTCGTTGGCGGCGCTGAAAGCGCTCATCCTCGACAGCGCCCGGTTGGAGAACACGAAGCACAGCAAACTCGAGAAAGCTGACATTTTAGAGTTAACGGTTCGACATTTGCAGAGGCAACGATCCCTCGCTCAGCCTGGTTTGTCAAGATACAAGGCTGGCTATCAAGATTGCTCGAGAGAGGTACGTCTCATTTATCGCAGAAGGTAGTTTTACTCGTCCGTAACTATCACGCACCGTAGCGCTGCCAACGATCAAAGATACATCACGCGGGAAAAGTCGAGAGACGATACCAAGGAAGAAGTCGGCGGTACAGTCGTACCGCGTACG